GTTCACGGTACTGCGACCAAAGATAGCCTTCGATACATTTCTGACAGCGAGTTTGCATGCTCCCCTCATAATGCTGTTATAATGGTATTTTTTTAACTTTACCTCATGTTAACGGCAATACTTTGATCAAACTAATGCGTTTATGCTCATAGTTGTATTAAAGGGACACTCCACCCATTTGCATTAAGCTTTCCATTGTTAGAAACCCAGTTATACTATTGAATGGTCGTGCAACACTCTCTCATTTTCCCCTGAGACGAGAGAAATCTGCTATTTACCTTTTTCACTTCGTCCCACAATGAAGCAAAAATCGTCATTTTACATCATTGTAGGAGGAAGTGTAAGAGGGGGGATTTCTGTAAAGACTACAAGCACAAGATCTCACCCTTTAGCCATAGTGGGTTGGACCTAATGCGCTAACAGACCAATCATAGATCAGTGCCAGTGCGTTTGATTTCACCGGCAGAAACTTTTGAAAATATGGACGAAGATACTGAATACACAGACGGATGCATTATGGAGGATTGGGATAACACATAGTGTCGGCCATCTTTTTTGGAAGCTAAGCTAGCAGGCTCTTGTTCAGTGGAGAAAGCCGAGTAGTAACTTTAGGTTGTTACCGTCCTCTTTTTCCCGGACATATCTGGCCGTCGATGTCCGGGATTCACCTTTTGCTTTCTGCAGTCGCCATTCATTGTTTACATGTACAGCTTTTGTTTCAATCTAACTGAATTCATTCTGATTGGTGAATCTGAATGTAGTGTTTACATGAACGCTAAACAAGTGATCGGTTGATGTGCGTTTTAACATTGCTGAGAAAATTCCCTCTCCTCCGTGAGAGATACGAGACCGGTGCGTCTCACAGGTGTCGCTCATCGGTAATCACGCCGTTCTTCCGCGGCCCTCACTCGTCCGGCTCGCAACAGTAAACATGATAAATGGCGACTGTAGAACGCAAAAGCCGAATCCTGGACATTTTGAGCGATCTCGAAACACATTTTCGGGCAGACTCATCACAGAGAATCACTAGTAGCCTAGACTTGTTTTTTAACTCTGCGCGCTGTTGCCGGTAGGCGTGGCCTCCTAGGGCGGCGAAACAAGTGCATTCTGGGAGTTGTTGTCTTCCATCCACATAAGCCAAAAATAAATTTTCTGGATTTTCTCAGTCTAGAAAGCTCCAAATTCAAAAATAATTTCACATTTCTTCTAAATAAATTACCCATTTTAAATACACATTCATCTTTCCAGAGGTGGAGTGACCCTTTAAGCTTATTTGCCGATTTTAATCAAAATAAACAGGCATGTAAACACATTTTCTCAGTTTGATGAACCGTTGTCCACTATAAAGAGCCTTTTATGGAATGGAAAGGTTCAACGGATGTTAAAGTTTCTTCAAAGAACCGTTGATGTCAGTAAACAACCTCTATTTTTCAGTGTGTACAAGATAAACTGAAAAGTCGCACGAAAACTCATGTAGCGTTCATTTCACCTTTGGTAAGACTTGAGTATGCGAGCCTCGGGCTGTATCAGCGCAATCACAGGATGCTGAGCCTCACACGCTTCTGAAGACGATAATGTTTCCCTTTGACATGTGCGTAGTTGCTGTTTCGCTTCTGGTGTGCGTCTGCATGCAATTCTTCCTCTGTATATTCAGAAGTTGAGCCTGCCTGACGCCAACTCATTTCCCTTCACGAGCCTGCTCTGGCCTCCTCATCTCTGCATGCTGGAAAAAAAAAAAAAGAGTTTTGACAGTGATAGCAGTTAGTTAACGGTTTTAATAATAATAGCTTTTAGTGAATTTCAGTTCTTAGTCATTAGACATGTCAAGAATTCATTAACTCTGTGGTTCCTCTGTGGTTTTAAGTTTACACTACAAACAACACCCTTATGATCTGGGGGGAGAAAAACCCAGTTCTCATTCTGATATAAAAACATAACAGTGTAGCCTAACCTCAATAATGTGCCTCAAAACCACAATAATGCACAGTCAGCAGATCTAAGTAAGCTAAAGAAAACTTACAATGTTTAATCAGCATTGCTCTGACTGTCTTTAAGATTATATATTGTTTTATGCACTTATTTATTTAGTTGAGGTCATAATATGACTAAAATGATCAAACTTTAAGAAAATAATCCCACCAAATGACACCGCTGCAGCCTGGAGGAAAATACCCGTGGTCAGTCATTCGGATGGTGGAGCACCAGCTATTCTATTTCAAATAATGCTAAACTAAATTCTAGTTCATGGGTCTAAAGACAAGAGGTTTGGCTGGTTAGCATGGTCATGTTGACCCCTGCTGGTCGATTATGTAACTACACCACACTTGACAGTTATTCAATGGATCATCTGTGTATTTTCTTAATAAAGATCAAGTTATAATCAAATAAAATAATATGCAAAACCTACACTGAAAAAGAAAAGAAAAAAAAGAAAGAAAAAAATGTGTATATGGCTTTTTTTTTAAAATTTTTAAAAAAAAATTTTTTTTTAGGATTTATTTCCCCCTCATTTAAAATTCTTAATCTATAATCTGAATAATAAATCAGCGACCCATGCACTTATTTATTTAGTTGAGGTCATAATATGACTAAAATGATCAAACTTTAAGAAAATAATCCCACCAAATGACACCGCTGCAGCCTGGAGGAAAATACCCGTGGTCAGTCATTCGGATGGTGGAGCACCAGCTATTCTATTTCAAATAATGCTAAACTAAATTCTATTTCATGGGTCTAAAGACAAGAGGTTTGGCTGGTTAGCATGGTCATGTTGACCCCTGCTGGTCGATTATGTAACTACACCACACTTGACAGTTATTCAATGGATCATCTGTGTATTTTCTTAATAAAGATCAAGTTATAATCAAATAAAATAATATGCAAAACCTACACTGAAAAAGAAAAGAAAAAAAAGAAAGAAAAAAATGTGTATATGGCTTTTTTTTTAAAATTTTTTAAAAAAAATTTTTTTTTAGGATTTATTTCCCCCTCATTTAAAATTCTTAATCTATAATCTGAATAATAAATCAGCGACCCATGCACTTATTTATTTAGTTGAGGTCATAATATGACTAAAATGATCAAACTTTAAGAAAATAATCCCACCAAATGACACCGCTGCAGCCTGGAGGAAAATACCCGTGGTCAGTCATTCGGATGGTGGAGCACCAGCTATTCTATTTCAAATAATGCTAAACTAAATTCTATTTCATGGGTCTAAAGACAAGAGGTTTGGCTGGTTAGCATGGTCATGTTGACCCCTGCTGGTCGATTATGTAACTACACCACACTTGACAGTTATTCAATGAATCATCTGTGTATTTTCTTAATAAAGATCAAGTTATAATCAAATAAAATAATATACAAAACCTACACTGAAAAAGAAAAGAAAAAAAAGAAAGAAAAAATGTGTATATGGCTTTTTTTTTTTAATTTTTTAAATTTTATTTTTTTTTAGGATTTATTTCCCCCTCATTTAAAATTCTTAATCCATAATCTGAATAATAAATCAGCGACCCATGCACTTATTTATTTAGTTGAGGTCATAATATGACTAAAATGATCAAACTTTAAGAAAATAATCCCACCAAATGACACCGCTGCAGCCTGGAGGAAAATACCCGTGGTCAGTCATTCGGATGGTGGAGCACCAGCTATTCTATTTCAAATAATGCTAAACTAAATTCTATTTCATGGGTCTAAAGACAAGAGGTTTGGCTGGTTAGCATGGTCATGTTGACCCCTGCTGGTCGATTATGTAACTACACCACACTTGACAGTTATTCAATGAATCATCTGTGTATTTTCTTAATAAAGATCAAGTTATAATCAAATAAAATAATATACAAAACCTACACTGAAAAAGAAAAGAAAAAAAAGAAAGAAAAAATGTGTATATGGCTTTTTTTTTTAATTTTTTTAAATTTTATTTTTTTTTAGGATTTATTTCCCCCTCATTTAAAATTCTTAATCCATAATCTGAATAATAAATCAGCGACCCATGCACTTATTTATTTAGTTGAGGTCATAATATGACTAAAATGATCAAACTTTAAGAAAATAATCCCACCAAATGACACCGCTGCAGCCTGGAGGAAAATACCCGTGGTCAGTCATTCGGATGGTGGAGCACCAGCTATTCTATTTCAAATAATGCTAAACTAAATTCTAGTTCATGGGTCTAAAGACAAGAGGTTTGGCTGGTTAGCATGGTCATGTTGACCCCTGCTGGTCGATTATGTAACTACACCACACTTGACAGTTATTCAATGGATCATCTGTGTATTTTCTTAATAAAGATCAAGTTATAATCAAATAAAATAATATACAAAACCTACACTGAAAAAGAAAAGAAAAAAAAGAAAGAAAAAAATGTGTATATGGCTTTTTTTTAAAAAATTTTTTTTTTTAGGATTTATTTCCCCCTCATTTAAAATTCTTAATCCATAATCTGAATAATAAATCAGGATTATTCTTTTCTTTTTGATGGAATTTTACTATACAATTGAAATTTGTAAATCTAAAAAAAAGTAAATCTTTAAAAATGTAAATCGAAAAGGTATTCTTTTTTAACTAATGAAGAATATAAGTATAACGAATGAAGAAACTATTAGCATTAGGCTTTATGGATATGGATTAAAATAGCTGAAGTATTGTGCACTTTTTTTGTAAAGAAAAAGGGCTGATATTCAGGATTTGGGGCGAGTTGGTGTTAGAGAAATTGTATTTCATTAAAACTTCGAAAAACTTTAAATTACGGCGGCAACAAATTGAACTGTTACATGTGAAATTAAATAATAAATAATAATAATGTGTAATAATGTTCTACATTGTGAACGATTGTGAAGCGTTCAAAAGAACCAGGGTTGCGAAAGAGGACTTGCAGACGTACAGTAACGTTAATGACGTCTCGTGACGTAATGATATGTGGTGCCACACGTTAGATAGCATTAGCTTCAAACCTCCAGACGAGTCCGGCAACATTCCTCAGCAGGTACTACTGTATCTTGTGCCTTCTTACCAATCCGTTATTCGGTGTTTACTGTTTAATATAAATCTCTCTGCATGTAATTGCCGTTCGGCTCGCGGATGTTAGCCAAAGTTTACAACATGAGTCAGAAGCGCGGACTTGAACGTTATATGCATGTTATGCATGCAAATAACAAGAGTTTGATCATTTACGCTGATCATGTATACAGCAGGAATACAAATTACAAAATTACGAATTACAAGCTGTAAAACCCTGCGACATCACATTATGCATGATTTAACTTAGTTGTGATAAAAACAAAAAAGTTTCAGGTGATTAATTTAATTTCATTCGGTCTAGTATTTTTTAGGTGAGTAAAATGGTTTAATTTTTTTGATACTTAGGTGTGCAAACAACAGTTGTTAAGTTAAATAGTTAACCCAAAATAACATTTCTGTCATTATTTAATCATAGTAACTTACATGTCTTTATCTGTAATGTTTTTATTGGAAATTTTGGCTGAACAGTTCCTTTATCCTATTGGTGTCATTGTTCTTGTATTGTTCTTGATTTGACAATAACTAGGCCATTTTTTCTCCATCCTCAGCAATGTCAACAAAGGAATCAAAGCCAAATCTTAGCGATTCCCAGGTCACAGAGATTATCAAACGTCTCTATGGCTTGACCGTGTCCATCATTCGACCGTTGCCCAGTTATGATGATCAGAACTTTTACGTGGCCCCCAGTGAGGGTGGAGAATATGTATTAAAGGTTATGAACTCAGCAGACAGTCACAACAGCACTGTTATTGAGTTACAAACACATTCTATGAACTTCTTACACCAAAGAGGCCTTCCTGCTCAGACCGCTTTTCCCACTCTGACTGGCCAACTCATGAGCTTGGAAGAGTTTGGTAAGAGTACCTGTCAGTTATTAATTTAATTAAATATTAAAACCTAAAATACAGTAAGGCCTGTTGTTAGTGGTTTGTTTTAAATGCCTGTTAAAGGTGAGTAAACAGGTTTTTAAGTAAACAGAAAGCTGGATGGATTTATATTGTATTCTATTTATCAATTGTTTAATTTTTCTATTATCACAGATTGTGGTTTTGGCTTGCAGAAATATTTAGTGCGCTTACTTGCCTACCTGCCTGGCACTACCATAGCCGAGATTACCTGCAGTCCTCAGATCTTGTATGACGTTGGAAAAATGGCCGCCACATTGGATACAGTTTTACTGCAAGTAAATTCTTTAATTCCATTACATTCCATTGTTAATGGGATATTCCACCGTTTTTTCATATTGAAATGTTATTCCCTTAACTAAGACAAGTTGATACATACCTCTCTCGTTTCTGGCGCGCGAGACACTTTGATAGCACTTAGCTTAGCCCAGTTCATTCATTAAGATCCAAGCAGAGAAGCGACCCAACACCTCCAGGACCAAGAGTTTGGTCGAGATACTTTACTCGTGTAACTTAATTTAAATAGGGAAAACCTGGAGGTGTTGGGTCGCTTCTCTGCTTGGATCTTAAAGGGTTAGTTCACCCAAAAATGAAAATTCTGTCACTATTTACTCACCCTCATGTTGTTTCAAACCTCTATGTGTTTATTTGTTTTGCTGAACACAAAGGAAGATATTTGGAAGAATGTTTTAATCAAACAGATCTCATTCCCCAATGGGAATGAGAACAACATGAGGGTGAGTAAATACTGACAGAATTTTCATTTTTGGGTGAACTAACCCTTTAATGAATGAACTGGGCTAAGCTAAGTGCTATCAAAGTGTCTCGCGCGCCAGAGACGAGAGAGGTATGCATCAACTCATCTTAGTAAAGGGAATAACATAGTTTTCCTCTCATTATTTATACATTACTTATACATTATTTATACAAGTTATTTCATTCACGGGCTGCGATTGCAAAAATCATTGTAACCCTAAGTACTGGTATCAGTACCAAATGGTAACCTACAATTATTACTTTAAAGAGGTATTTCTATTAGATTAAACCCATGTAAAGTAGGTTTGGCACAACAGTGCTACATGTCGGAATCATCTGAGAGTTACGGGCTTTTGATTATTGTTAGTGCGCTGCTGCGGTTATGTTATCGGAGTGCGCGCTTCAAAGCCAGATGTTTTTTGATTGGCTGTCAATGATTTTAGCTGGGAAAAAAACGTTCGAACAACAGCGATTTCAACAATACCGTTCCTCTGTGGCGGTATAGTTAGCGGTAACGGTGATGTTGGGATTGTCAGTTTTATGGAGTCACATTTACCGATGCTCTGCTAAATTTTACTGGCGAAATCCAGTTATGCCAGAAGGAATCTACGCAATCGTGAGGTTTGCGTGAGGGCGAAGATTTCCCCATGCAGCTTTTGCTCATTTTCAAGATGGTCACGTTATTTCGCCACATTGATTAAGATAAAGCTGCTTTATGCTTCAAACATCACTACACTATTGACAACCGACTTTTTTTTTGCTAATTTTGCTAATGTGACTCTTTTTAAAAACCTTATGGTTATACATTCACCTAAAGGATTATTAGGAACACCATACCAATACTGTGTTTGACCCCCTTTCGCCTTCAGAACTGCCTTAACTGCCAGAATGCCGTGGCATTGATTCAACAAGGTGCTGAAAGCATTCTTTAGAAATGTTGGCCCATATTGATTGGATAGCATCTTGCAGTTGATGGAGATGCACATCCAGGGCACGAAGCTCCCGTTCCGCCACAGCCCAAAGATGCTCTATTGGGTTGAGATCTGGTGACTGTTGGGGCCATTTTAGTACAGTCAACTCATTGTCATGTTCAAGAAACCAATTTGTGACATGGTGCATTATCCTGCTGGAAGTAGCCATCAGAGGATGGGTACATGGTCGCCATAAAGGGGTGGACATGGTCAGAAACAATGCTCAGGTAGGCTGTGGCATGTAAACGATGCCCAATTGGCACTAAGGGGCCTAAAGTGTGCCAAGAAAACATCCCCCACACCATTACACCACCACCACCAACCTGCACAGTGGTAACAAGGCATGATGGATCCATGTTCTCATTCTGTTTACGCCAAATTCTGACTCTACCATCTGAATGTCTCAACAGAAATCGAGACTCATCAGACCAGGCACCATTTTTCCGGTCTTCAACTGCCCAATTTTGGCGAGCTCTTACAAACTGTAGCCTCTTTTCCCTATTTGTAGTGGAGATGAGTGGTACCCGGTGGGGTCTTCTGCTGTTGTAGCCCATCCACCTCAAGGTTGTGCGTGTTGTGGCTTAACAAATCCCAGTAACTGAGCAGATTGTGAAATACTCAGACCGGCCCGTCTGGCACCAACAACCACGCCACGCTCAAAATTGCTTAAATCACCTTTTTTTCCAACTCTAACATTCAGTTTGGAGTTCAGGAGATTATCTTGACCAGGACCACACCCCTAAATTCATTGAAGCAACTGCCATGTGATTGGTTGATTTAGATAATTGCATTAATTAGAAAAAAGAAATTGAACAGTTGTTCCTAATAATCCTTTTGGTGAGTGTATATTCTTATATAAAAGTGTATAAAAGGCTTTTTTTGTCCTTGCATTTTTTTCATTAGGTTTCTCATTTTATTTCCTGAATTTAGGCATTTGTGTTTGTTTATTTTTTCTTGTGAAGATGGAGCATCCAAAGATCAGTTCCCTTCAGAGAGAGAACTTTATATGGAGTCTCACCAGTGTTCCTCTCTTAAATCAGTATCTCCATGTGATGGATGGGGACCCTGTTCAAAAGGTTGTTAAATCCGTTATTGAGCAGTACCAGGTCCAAGTCATGCCAAAACTACCATTGTTTCGCAAGTGTAAGGCATTATTTTAAGTATTTATTTACTTAAAATATTTAAAAGTATTTATTTTAAGTATTTATTATTTTAAGTAACGCAGTTATTTTCTTATAACATTTTTATTGCATTGCAGGCATTAACCATGGTGACTTTAATGACCACAATCTCTTGGTGAAACCGGATGGACCCTCAAAGTACAAGATCTCTGGGATTCTTGATTTTGGAGACATGAGCTGTGGGTATTTCATATTTGAGCTGGCCATAACAATCATGTACATGATGATTGAGAATCCCAATCCGCTCGATGTCGGAGGGCCAGTGGTGGCGGGATGGGAAAGTGTTTTTCCTCTCAATGAGGCAGAAAGAGATTCGCTGTATTTGCTGGTTCTGTGCCGGTTCTGCCAGTCCCTTGTTCTGGCCCGGCATACTGTGATCCAGCAGCCCGAGAATAAGGAGTACTTGATGATCACGGCCAGGACAGGTGTGCGGCACCTCAGTCGTCTTTGGGAGCTGGGTAAAGAGGAAGTGGAAAGAGTTTGGTCGCAGAGTGCTGCACAGTTCAGCCAACCCTGACTGAGCACTGAAGCATGACGGCTTGCTCCAATAATATATGCAAAATAAACCCAAATCCATCAACTTTCTTCCATGGAAGACAAACTGTGAAATTTGAAATAAAGTCAAGGAGGACTGGGTCTGTTAATTATCACCATAAAAGTGGTCCAAAAGTATTTACTTTAATCAATGATGATGTCAAATGGTGACTTTGGTGGAAGGTAGGGTGATACGAAACATGCTCTTAAATAACATTTTCATTGTGCTTTTGGCTCTTTTCAGACACTGTCGGGTGGAAACCTTGCGTCTTCAAACACACTACTTTCCAGGAAAATGTAAAACAGACTATTCAGACTGATCTCATGAAGTAGTGTGTGTATGACACGCCAATTCGTATTTCCATTTTTGGCGTGCTATCAAGACGCATAATCGCCTTTCATCGTGTTTATGAACGCCGTTGACTTAACGTTATATAAATATATGACATACCTCAACCCCGTCCCTAAACCTAACCGTCACTGGGGTTAATGGCATTTATGACTGTTCCCTTACCGTCCAAGGTAAAAAAAAGATATGACTTACCTCAACCCCATTCCTAAACTTAACCGTCACTGGGGTTAATGGCATTTATGACAGGAGATTTGACTGCGTGTACAGACGCGCGGAATGACCCGGACGTTAATGGCGTAGACATACACGAATACACGCGGATAGCTCAAAATGCGTAGAGATAACACGCCACCTGACTCGAAATTGGCGTATATGTTTACGCAAAAGTCATGACGTCATGTTGGATTATTTGTTTTTATAATTAAAGATGGTCAAAACTGTGTGAGGAACTTCAGGCCCTGTTTACACGAGGGGAAAACGTTTTTATCACATAAAACGATTATTTCTAAAAACTCAGGCCAAAGTGGAGATTTCTGAAAACGCCGGTTGTGTTGTGTGAACTGGTAGAAACGGAGTTTTAGGTTCTCTCTTGTCGATTCTGAGGATTCTGATTGGCTTGCATGGCTTTATCCTTCTCCCTACACTGCCGCCAATTGGTTTGGCATAGTTATGATGGCGCTCAACGGCGTATTTATGCGGGTGTGTGAACAATGTAATTTTTGAAAATAGAGAGGGGGAAAATATTCGTTTCGCTAAATACCCGGCTTTGTGTAAACGTGGCCTCATTCACCATTGAGGGGGGTGGAGTTATGGGGTTTCATTACACACTCTTTTTTTAAAATAGAAATGAAAATTATTTATGAAAAAATTAAAAAGGATGAAATATAGAGATACAAGGTTTCCACCCGACACCGACGACATGGAAAAGAGCAGTGGATAGAAGTAAGTGCCAAGGTTTGGAGCAAAAAAAGCATGAGTGAACGATAACACCATTTTAAATTTGAGACAAGCTAGCACTTTAACGTTGATGTCAAAAATTTGTGTTGGTAATAATTAATGAAAACCTTGAACATTAGATGAAATGGCTACTGCACAGGATAATTCCAGGATTGTTGTAAATTACTTATATGATCCTTCAGTTTTTAAGAGAACATGTATGATGCACACAATTAATTATTAACTCAAAAATACCATGCATGCCATAATGCCTTTAATAAAGTAGCAGATGTTTATTTTTAATGGTGGAGCGATTCATTTTTGTCAAGGTTAAGATAGACACATTTATGTTTTAAGAGAAATCAAGATACTTTTGTTTTAGTTTAAATGTTTGTTTCAGTTGTCTTATTCAGTGCCTCTATTTCATCCAAGAATAAATAACCCAACTGAAAGTATTTTCTACAAAACAGGACAGTATTAACACTGCACAATCCATAGAGTATGATCACTCATGTATTACAGTATGTATGTACTGCATATTAGAATGACGGATTGTGACAAAAGGTCGTATAAACCTTTATGTACTGCCTAGTCTAATCTTACTGCTCAAGTATGAATAAACAAACTGCTGACTGCAGTATTTAATCTGATTGGTCAAAGGTCTTTTTTATGACACATATCAAGTATTATTGGAAGGTCATCGTAGTGAAAAGTGTATTTTAAAGCAAAACATTAAGGAAAAAGAAGAACTCCGGTTGATAACTGATAATGAGCAGTCTTCTTGTTGATGGCTGATTGATACAGAACTTATGAAAAAACATGAGCCTGAAGGTCTTACAGGCTTTAAAGGCATTTCAGTTTGTTTAATGAGTTACCAGGGAACACCTAGTGATAAAATGTACCACATTTAAAGTTGCTCTGGATAAAAATCAAATGGAATTGGATTCACTGACTAATCAAGCATACAAATTAAACACCACGTGATTGTGTCTGTAGTGTCAAGGAAATAACTAAACCCGCAACTAAACTGAACCCATTATTTTGGAAACTGTTTCAGACCAAATGCTAAAAAAAAATGCTGCTCAGTTGTCAGTTGCAATCATTCAGTAATACAGTAATACATTCTCTTTACTCTCCAAAACTGTCTTGTAGTTTTTTACATTCTGTGGCCTTGATTTCTATCGTGTGATAAACGCATCTATAGTCATATGTTTCTCAAGCATCTGATGATGTCTACTGCATGTGATCCTGTTGTTTGCTTGCTTTGGAACTGAAAAGTGAGCAGATGGCATAGAGGAAACAAAGTATTTCCATATCACATAACAGATGTATATGCATATGAATGGTAAATGGACAGAACTGGGCTTAAGTTTCACTGATGGTGTTTCTTTTGATTTGCAGAACTACATGTCCTTTACATTAGCTCATTTACAAGTTAAAAACAAAACAACCTACCAATATGAAAAAAAAAGTCACAGTGCACATTGTCAGATGATTTATAAGGCTGCCCTTAGGGCGGTGCAACTGGTGCGACCACTTTGTGACCTGCGGCGAACAGGCTTGAGCTTTGTGACATGCACGTTATTCAGCTGGATGTGGCAATCAGAAGATGATCCACTCTGGTCATAAAGGGATGAAGACCCGACTATCTGAACGTCACTGCAGAAATCGAGACTCATCAGATCAGGCGTTTTATCAGGTCAGGTTTTTCAAGGTTTGATGTGTTGAGTGTTCAGAAATGCTCTTCTGCTTCAAGGTTTGACGTGGCAAACTTGACTGGCTCAAGGGCCATGATAAAAGAGGGAAGGAGGCAGCATGAATGGTCAAAAGTGATTTATTTAAAGGTCCTATATGTAACTTTTTTTATATAAAATGAATCCTTTTTTATTGCCTGTGTTTGAAGGGTTTGTAATCACACATTGCAATGATCCACTTTCCAGGTTTTGCTATTACCTCTGAAGGCCAATATTCAATTTATATGTGAGGTCTCCGGGTCGGATTTTCTGCGAATCCATCGGATATGACGTGCATGCGCGCTCTCGAGCCTCTCCTTACAGTCTATACGACCAACGGCACTTCAGCTGACGACATGGAGTCTGATAACCCCCCCAAAACGTCCTGCCTCCAGCACAACACAGACTCCAGAACAAACTCCAAAAAAATATTAAAAAAACAAAAAGTTTTATCTGCTGAAGCTCGTCAGGCAAAACGTGAATCTGATCAAAACGCGGATCAACATCGGCAACATATTAGTACAACATTAGTACGACCCCGATCCATATACAAACTTTTCAGATTACCAAAGAGAAAGAAAACAACAAACAAACATCTCCTTCCATTTTCAATTTCCTTTAAACAATCAGACCCCAATAGGGGCATGCACTAAATGGACATGGTTATGGGGGAAATAGGAAATAGGTGAAAAAAATATATATTTGAATGCATTTTGATTGCGTTCTCTGGCGAAATGTTGCAAGAAACTTTGCGTTCATTTGCGAAAAACTCAAAAGTTTTGAGAGTAAGCAAAATTTCTTGGGGGAACACGGAATATTTGCGAGAAAATACTAAAGATTCAAATTTGTTTCACTGATGAATTACTAATAAATCCTCCTTCACATTCTTCACAATCACATTATTTTTCATATAACACTCAAGGCAAGGCTTAGAGGTCCAGTTGCACCGTAAACCAGCTCAATCTCTTCCACCTCAGATAGGGGTATACTGGAAGAGATCTTGATGGAGAGCGGGAGAGTCTTCACTCCGATGAGGCGAGTGAAGAAGTAAGTTACTGCTGAGAATATAAGAAGTCCCTGGGCTGGAGGCCCAGTAGCACCGTAAACCAGCTCAATCTCTTCCATCTCAGATAGGGGTATTACTGTATTTTATTTTATTTTTACTCTTAACTGTTTTTATTTATATTGATTGCATTTACTAAATGAGCACTGTGCCACTGTTTGTCCGACTGTTACTGTACATTTTATTTTCGACACTGTATTTTATTTTTATTATTATGATTTTTTTTTTATTCTAAACTGTTTTAATTATTTTGACTTCTTTAATTTCTTCCATCTTTGAATTGCCACTGTGTATGAAATGTGCTATATAAATAAACTCGCCTTGCCTGCCTTGCCTTAAGTGCAAATGGACGAGGAGTGTCTTCGGCTGTGTCTTGAAGGTTGGGATGGTCTCAACAGATCAGTTTTCCACCACAGAAAAATTCACTAGAAGTTAAAGTAGATCATATGCTGACAAATTTATTTTCCTGTCAAAATACTTAAATACAAAGCTGAATTAAAACATAAAGCACATGTGCTAAAGTTACAATGCTCAGTGGTCTTGATTGAGCTCCTTGTTTTTCTTTTTCATAGTGGACATAAAGACAATTGCTTTAGTAAAAACAAATGAAAAGATTATTTTTATGACAAATTTTCATTATTGTAACGTGTGTGTGTGTTTATAGGCTATATATATATATATATATATATATACTGTATATAATATGATAAAATGAACGCATAACTGCTGCATTGCTGAATGGTAAAGCAAGAAGACTCAATGCATAATTGCCAAGATCTTCAAAGTTTCTATCACAAGTTTAGGCAAGTTTACGTTCTTGATCAAATCGAAAATAACGTCATAAAACATAAATAAGGCCTACATGAGAAATACGTTTAAGACATTAGACACTTATAGCCTACAAAATTCAGGTCCATAATGTTTGTACGCGTTTGTCGTAGACATAAAATAGGATAACTAGTAGCCTAGTGGCTATAAAGCCAAGCTAACCAAGATCAAACTCGGATTACCCCCATGTTCCACCAGCCACTTCAAAATCAGGTTGTTTTTCCCCGAGCCACTGATGCATAAACTCCGTTTCGTTGTTTATTTTTAGATGTAAAGGTGATTGTCTGCTAACACCCAGATCCTGCGAGAACTGAATAAACATTCTGGACATGAGGTAACCATGGTGATGCGAACGGCAACCTGCCGCATTTTCCGAGGCGTCTTAATGGTCATTGTGGGTGTTGCGGATTCTCCTGACCCTTCTGAGCAAGTCCCTGCTGAAAAATCCAGCTAAAACCAGCCTAGGCTGGTTGG